AAATAGTCAGGTTTATGTCATATTCAAAAACATAAGAACGAAGGGAAAACTGCAGAAGGCCCACTGGCCCATGCGAGGCAGGGCCAAGTCTCCTACCGGCTTAAGCCAATGCACCCAACCTAGTCAGGTCAGGTCACATTGACTTAAGGGAGGAACACGGCAACAGACCTGGTAGCACAAGCTATCAGGTCTAACTCACACCCACCCACATCCACTCATGTATTTATCCAACCTATTTTTAAAGTTACACAACGTTTTAGCCTCTATAACTGTACTCGGGAGTTTGTTCCACTCATCCACAACTCTATTACCAAACCAGTACTTTCCTATATCCTTCCTGAATCTGAATTTTTCCAACTTAAAACCATTGCTGCGAGTCCTGTCTAGGCTAGATATTTTCAGCACACTATTTACATCCCCTTTATTTATTCCTGTCTTCCATTTATACACCTCAATCATATCCCCCCTAATTCTACGTCTTTCTAGAGAGTGCAGATTCAGGCCCTTAGTCTATCCTCATAGGAAGGTTTCTGATACATGGGATCAACTTTGTCATCCTCCTTTGTACATTTTCCAGAGAATTTATATCCATTCTGTAATACGGTGACCAAAACTGTGCAGCATAATCTAAATGAGGCCTAACCAAGGATGTATAGAGTTGAAGAACAACCTGAGGACTCCTATTATTTATGCTTCTTGATATGAAGCCAAGGATTCTATTAGCTTTATTGCGAACACTTATGCACTGTTGTCTTGGTTTCAGATTACTGCTAACCAGAACTCCTAAATCTTTTTCGCAATCCGTAATGTTAAGATCTACATTATTTAGTTTATATGTGGCATGGTTATTGTCCTGTCCAACATTTAGAACTTTGCATTTGTCTATATTAAACTGCATCTACCACTTCTCCGACCACTGCATCAGTCTATTCAAATCTTCCTGGAGTGCTCGAATGTCCTCGTCAGAATGAATTCGACGGCCTATTTTGGTGTCATCGGCAAACTTGCCGATGTCGCTTTTTATGCCCTCATCTATGTCGTTTATGTAGATTGTGAACAGCAGGGGGCCCAACACTGACCCCTGTGGAACACCGCTTCCCCACTCTGATTTCTCCCCATTTATGCAAACTCTCTGCTGCCTATTTGTCAACCATGCCTCTATCCAGGAAAAAAATTCTCCTCCTATTCCATGTGCCTTAATTTTCCTCAATAGTCTCTGATGTGGGACCCTGTCAAAAGCCTTACTGAAGTCCATATACACAATATCATATTCATTACCATGATCTACCTCCTCAAATACCTTAGTGAAAAAAGTTAATAAATTCGTAAGGCAGGAACGCCCCTTTGTAAAACCATGCTGAGATTCGTTGATTAATTTATGCTTTTCAAGGTGGCTACGAACTGCCTCGGCAATTACTGATTCCATAAATTTTCCCACTATGGAGGTTAGGCTTATTGGTCTATAGTTCGAAGCTAAGGACCTGTCACCTGCTTTGAAAATAGGTATCACATTTGCATTTTCCACTTATCTGGCACCATGCCAGTTTGTTGTGATATGTTGAAAAGATTAGCCAAAGGTTTGCTAAGCTCCTCTTTACATTCCTTTAGAATCCTTGAATACAGCTCATCAGGGCCTGGGGATTTGTTAGGTTTTAATTTATCTATTTGCCTAAGGACCATGTCACTTGTGACCCTAATCGTGCACAGTTTATTATCGTCCCGTTCTATATAATTTATCATTTCTGGAATATCGCTGGTATCCTCCTGTGTAAAAACTGAGAGGAAGTATGTGTTAAAAATTCTACACATTTCCTTATCACTGTCAGTGAGCTGACCCGAGGAACTTTTGAGTGGGCCTATCTTGTCCCTGATCTTATTTTTGTATACCTGAAAGAATCCTTTTGGGTTAGTCTTCGATTCTCTTGAGAACTTTAACCTCATAATCTCTTTTTGCTTTTTTAATTCCCTTTTTTATTTCTCTCTTTAACTGAATATATCGATTTCTTAATTGCCCCTCTCCTCTTTTGATTTGCCTATATATGCCTCTCTTCTGACCAATCAGATATTTTAATCTATTGTTCATCCATTTAGGATCATTTTTGTTTGATCTGATTTCCCTATTTGGAACATAATTTGACTGAGCAGCTAGAACTATGCCCTGGAAAGCGTCATATCGGCAACCATCACCACCTACCTGACCCTTAGTCAGGTCATTCCAGTTCAGCCCACCTAAGTAATTTTTCAGTCCTATGAAATCAGCCAAGCGAAAGTCAGGGACAGAGACTTGATTGCCATTATTAGGGAAATTCCATGATATATTAAAACTGAGTGATTTGTGATCACTTTCCCCAAGCTCATCATTAACCTCAAGATTATTAATTAGTGTTTCCCTACTGGCAAGAACCAAGTCAAGGAGGTTATTTCCCCTAGTTGGCTCTGTCACAAACTGTTTAAAAAAACAATCCTGGATCGTATCAAGAAAGTCACCTGACTCTAAATTTCCTGTCAAATTGCTCCAGTCAGTCTGTCTATAGTTGAAATCTCCCATTAGCACAACATTTTCATATGTAGATTCCTTAAGAATTTCGTCCCATAGAAGTTTACTGCACTCCCTATCAAGATTTGGGGCCCTGTAAATCACACGCAAAATTAGTTTTTCTCGGCCCTCGAGAAGCTGTAACCAAACAAATTCAGTGGCTGACGCTTCTAATTTTATATCTTGTCTAACACAACAATTTAAATTGTCTCTGACATACATCGCTACTCCACCACCTTTCCTGTTGACCCTGTTAGTGTGGAATAATTTATAGCCTTGTATGTGACATTCAGAGGGTATCTCTCTATCTTTCAGATTGAGCCAGGTCTCTGTTATAGCAATAATATCTATGTTTCCTGCACGGCATCTGACCTAGTAGCACAAGCTAGTCAGGTCCAACTCACACCCACTCATGTATTTATCTAAGAGGTCAACTTGCCACTGACACAGGTCAACTGATCTCCAATCTAATTTTATCCCGTTAATGCAAAATCTTTGTTGCCTATTTATCAGCCATGACTATCCATGAAGGAACAGTTCTCTCAGCGTCATGTGCTGCCACTTTGTTCAACAGCCTCTGGTGTGGGAGTATCGAAAGCCTTACTGAAATCCAAATTAACAACACAATCTTTATCATGATTCACTGACTCAAATGATTTACTGAAGAAAATCAGTAATTAGTTAGGCGTGAACTCCCTTGTGTATCCGTGTTGTGACGCCTTAATCAAATTATGATCATTGAGGTGGCTTATTATTATATCTGCTGTGTGATGAATGGTTTGAAAAACCGACAAGTTGAAGATTGAGACACTTATGCAGCATATGGGAATCTTTATTCAGGAAACGTTTCGCCACACAGTGGCTTCATCAGTCCAATACAAAGAGGAAGGCGTAAGGAGAGGAGGAGAATGAGGTAATCAGTCCCTCAACCTGGAGTCGATGTGTTCAGTCCATCAATCTTGTAGAATGTACAGTATAGGGCCGTAGACGTGGCTTATATACAAAGAATTACAACACTTGTTCAACCTTTGGACGAAGACCTACTTCGACTAGTGGATGGTACCACTATGACCCCGCCTCCACCTGCTTCACCTCACCTCACTACAGTATATAAGCCACGTCTACGGCCCTATGCTGTACATTCTACAAGATTGATGGACTGAACACATCGACTCCAGGCTGAGGGACTGATTACCTCATACTCCTCCTCTCCTTACGACTTCCTCTTTGTATTGGACTGATGAAGCCACTGTGTGGCGAAACGTTTCCTGAATAAAGATTCCCATATGCTGCATAAGTGTCTCAATCTTCAACATATCTGCTGTGACTGACTTGGCCAGCTATTGAAGTCAACTTATGGGGGATTATGTTGATAGTTAAGATATATGTACAACAGTTGGATATCTTTATTGTTGAAACGTTTCGCCTACACAGCAGGCTTCCCCAGTTAAATACTAAAGCAGTAGTAGGCTTAGTAAAGATATGTAATCATCCCATCAACCTTGAGTAAATCCACCATTTGTTGTTCCTGTTAAGTTGCAGTAAAATCCTGAAATAAATTAATAACTACTGTTGTGGGTCGTATCCTGGGACGGATCTATTTAGGACCCCAGTGAAAACTGATTAGGTTATCCTGGGTTACTTTCGTTGCGGCGTTGACAATATAAATAAAGTCTTATCTACTCACACCAGGGTAGGACTACAAGCGGACGACCGTGGTCATATAGGCTCTTCATGTTAGTTCTGGCCGCAAGCATCGTTGTTTAGTTGCCATTTCTCAGTTTGTAGGTTGAGTGAGAGTTTAAGATAAAGACTAGGATACCTTTTTACCCGTCACTATATTTTCAGCAGCTACTGGAGTTTCCTAGGCAAACCTACCTTATCCTCTCCTCTCCCACGCTATCCTACCCTATCCTCTCCTCTCCCACACTATCCTAGGCTATCCTACCCTATCTTCTCCTCTCCCACACTATTCTAGGCTATCCTACCCTATCCTCTCCTCTCCCACACTATCCTAGGCTATCCTACCCTATCCTCTCCTCTCCCACACTATCCTAGGCTATCCTACCCTCTCTTAGCCTAGCCCACACTATCCTAGGCTATCCTACCCTCTCTTAGCCTAGCCCACACTATCCTAGGCTATCCTACCCTCTCAGCCTAGCCCACACTATCCTAGGCTATCCTACCCTCTCTTAGCCTAGCCCACACTATTAACTTACGTGAGTCGCGTATCTTTACTACAAGGTGGGCAGGGGTCAGTCAACCTGGAGGTTGCTCGGGGGGTCAGCGCCCCCGCGGCCCGGTCCTCAACTAGGCCTCCCGGTGGATCAAGGCAGGAGAAGGGTACAGAAACTTGCCCAAATATCTTTCCCTACCAGGAACCTTGTGAGTTGGATAATCTCACCAGTGAGCTAGGTGTGTGAGCAGTAGAGGAGGGGAGGGATGGAGAGGGTAGAGATGGACACACTCCAAGGTCTCTCTCAGTCCACTCCTCACCACTGTGTTAGTAAGGGTGTTGCGTCTCTCCACTCCCTCCAGTGTTGTACTGAGTGACGCACCTGTGCTATCCGGCAGAAAACTCAAAGTCAAACTACCACTGAGGAGGAAATACTGAAAACACTAGTGAGTAATATATGTAAATGGTATTGTGTGTTCTAGTGGATATGTGTATTGTTTGTAGAACTTGAGAAACCATAGTAGTGCACAGGCAACTGTTATTATTATTTTTTTTCGAGGGTGGGTATATGCACACAAGTTCAGGGCGGGTATAATTACGTGTTCACGGGCGGGTATAATTACGTGTTCACGGCGGGTATAATTACGTGTTCACGGGCAGGTATAATTACGTGTTCACGGGCGGGTATAATTACGTGTTCACGGGCGGGTATAATTACGTGTTCACGGGCGGGTATAATTACGTATTCACGGGCGGGTATAATTACGTGTTCACGGGCGGGTATAATTACGTGTTCACGGGCGGGTATAATTACGTGTTCACGGGCGGGTATAAGCACACACACACGTGTTTTTCATTTCTTTTAAAAAATGTAAGTAAACATAGTCATCACAAAATGCCAAAACTTCTGGAATGGAAGACGACGTTTCGGTCCCTCCTGGAACATTGTCAAGTCACACCTGGAGCGAGAAAAAGGTAGAGAAGACTACAGGAAAATAAGAGGGGAGCCAAGATGGCAGTGGTAATTGTAACAGTAGTAGACGAAGGAGTAGCAGCAGTAGTAGTAATATATGTTGCAGTAATATTGGTAGAAGTAAAGAATTAGTAATACTCCTCCTCAACCCAACAAGTTGACAGGTGGCTGAGAATCTTAACTCATTGCTCTCCCTTCCTTAATGTTCCTGTCCACCTCTCTGTGACAGACTCTTCCTTTCCTGTTTAAAACATATATACTCAAAAATTAGGGACAAAGGAATTAATGTACAATTGCTATGGATCCCATCACACATTGAATTACTCCTTCATGATAAAGTTGATATGTTAGCCAAGAAGAGTATCGAGAAGGAGAATGTAGAATATAACTTTGGTATAACTGTGTCTAGCATTAGGAATAATATTAGGAGAGAAGTAAATAATGAAAATGATTGTTATAGGAATGCAGTTAGAAGCCTGAGTAGATCTATAACCCACTATAATATGAACGTAGATAAGTATGTTTATGGAGCAACTTGCAATGTGAACAGACTGACTGATGTTGTAGTGGCCAGGCTTAGGCTTGGTTACAAGTACTGACTGATGTTGTAGTGGCCAGACTTAGGCTTGGTTACAAGTACTGACTGATGTTGTAGTGGCCAGACTTAGGCTTGGTTACAAGTACTGACTGATGTTGTAGTGGCCAGGCTTAGGCTTGGTTACAAGTACTTCTGGCAGTTTGGGAGACACACAGATGATGATCAAACTAAATGTAAATTATGTGATCAGGCATATGGTCACTCTCTTGAACACTATGTGCTTAATTGTCCACTTATTGAGGAATACAGAGACAGACAGTATAATAACCTATGTGACATGTCAAGATATCTTATTAATGAAAATAAGATACCAGATATACTAAGCAAATTTCCTAAATTTGCTTGTAACAGATAAGTGAACTATAGATATGTAGATATAAATCCATATGTATTCCTGTTAACCCTTTGGGGCCTAGTTCCTAGGCCTTTTGTGTATCCATATGCTCTCGCGCTACCGTCCACAGGATGGATATGGGGTGCACAATAAACTAGCCACTTCGGTGGCAAAATCTAAAAAAAATCTAAACAAACTCATGCGCAGCGACATATACATTCACTATTTTTTTTTTTACCATACTCCTTTTGTCAAGAAAAGTGTTCTTGTTTCCGTCTCCGCGTCCTCCCAAACGCAGTTTTTCGCCTCTGAAATTTTCATTCTTCACAGCACATTCTTTCACCTTGTTTATACTTACATTTTCACAAACTCGGCTTACTCTTATACTAAAGCGGGTTTGTTTTTCATCCTTTACCCACTTCTATAAATACTCATTTACTTTGCTTTCCCAATATTTTCATTCTACAAAATCTTTGCACCATCTGGTCTCTAGATATTAAATTTACTTTTCGTCGAAACTAATACCATTCATAGCAAGTTAATTCATACTTTTCCTCTGGTCGTTGGTGTCTCCTGTGTCTTCTCCTGCTTCTCCTGTGCTCTTCAATACTTTGGAGAAACTGGCTGCTCTCATTCTGACATACTAACAGAACTCAAAAGGAATGTTTGCCTTGTTGACAATAGAAATAATTTTGTCTTATTTGAGATCACAGTCATCCTCTTAACTGGTTCTCTGCTGAAACTAACTTTCTTGTAGCCTTCACTGACTGTGTCTTGTCATATTAGTACACAAATAAGTCACACGTAGGAGAATGAAAATTATGCCGACGATTGGTAGCGCACTCAGCTCACACACTGAGCTCCATGGTTCGATCCCTGGTGCGGGTGGAAACATTAGAATGTGTTTCCTTAAGACACCTCTTGTCCCTGTTCACCTATCAGTAAAATAGGTACCTGGGTGTTAGTCGACTGGTGTGGGTTGTAGAAATAAATATTATTATTATTATTATTATTATTATTATTATTATTATTATTATTATTATTATTATATTATTATTTTTATATTATTATTATTATTATTATTATTATTATTATTATTATTATTATTATTATTATTATTATTATTATTATTATTATTATTATTTTGGTCCGGCTTGGACCATTGCTAGTCAAATCAGCTTATACACAATATTTCAATATGAGTCAGTCATAGGCTTGTTGCTGTGGGTACCTGTTTTTCTCACAACACTCATGACTTAACATGTTTTTTTCTTTCTCCTGCCTTCTGCCTTATTTCTTGCTTCCTTTACCTTTCCTAGCATGGGCCAGTAGGCCTACTTCAGTGCTCCTCTGCCCCTTAAGGACAGGTGTTAGAGTGAAGAATGAGACACGCGCAACATTTGTCGTGAAAACGTTCCGCCATCCAGTGGCTTCAGTTCAGTACAGAAAAGAACTAATGAAACCACTGGTTGGCGAAACGTTTACATAATTAAAGATTCCCAAGTTTTGCACGTGTCTCATTCTTCAGCTTGTCGGTTTTCTAACCATTTAGATCACAGGTGCCCAGAGTGTTAAGTTACTCTGATCTCCACCCTCTTGAGGTGCAATACATCCTCATTACTTTATCACAAGTCCTCGGCCAGGACCTACTTCCACTAGCAGGTCCGCCCACGGTGACGATGCCTTGTAATAGATAAGATTGGTGACAATAATAATATTCAGCACCGACAAGATGATGATTAAGAAACACGTTCAATATATGGGCGCCTGAATCACGAAGATTTTTCGCCATTCCGTGGCTTGGTCAGTTGGCATTGTATATAGTATACTGTTATGCTGCCATGTCTGTTTGGCACTGCAGTGCCGTGGAATCTTGGTACGGAGGATTACTTCTTCAACCTCTTTCATAACCTCTGGTCCAGCTCCCAGTGGGAATAAGTCACTTTGCGTTTTTTGGGTTGTCATAGGTAATTTACATATGTATGATATTTGTGGAAATATGAGGAGGAGTTTGAGGTAATCAGTTGTTGCAATCGTCTTGGTACTCACGTTGTTGTAGCCGTCTTGGTACTCACGTTGCTGCAACTGTCTTGGTACTCACGTTGTTGCAACCGTCTTGGTACTCACGTTGCTGCAACTGTCTTGGTACTCACGTTGTTGCAGCCGTCTTGGTACTCACGTTGCTGCAACTGTCTTGGTACTCACGTTGTTGCAACCGTCTTGGTACTCACGTTGCTGCAACTGTCTTGGTACTCACGTTGTTGCAGCCGTCTTGGTACTCACGTTGTTGCAACCGTCTTGGTACTCACGTTGTTGCAACCGTCTTGGTACTCACGTTGTTGCCTTGAGTTGATGTATTCCGTCCATGAATGTTGCTTAATATGTTTATTATGCACTCCATACCCATCCTAATGAAGATTAATGGACTGGACAATACAGTTTAGGTGAATGGAACAAATTCCCCAGGTAGAGTCACAGAGGCAAGAACTTGAAATATAAGTTAGGCAGGTACATGAGTGGGTGTGAGTTAAAGCTACCTAGCATAGGCCAGTAAGCCTCTTGCAGAGTTCCTTCGTTCTTATGTATGACCTGTATATTTAATAGGTTTAAGGCTGTAAATAAGGGGAGAGGTTTGTTATCTGAAATTTGAGTCTCTGATGACATGTGATTATTGGTGCGAGGTGACCTGGAGTTTACCTGGAGAGAGTTCCAGGGGTCAACGCCCCCGCGGCCCGGTCTGTGACCAGGCCTCCTGGTGGATCAGAGCCTGATCAACCAGGCTGTTGTTGCTGGCTGCACGCAAACCAACGTACGAGCCACAGCCCGGCTGGTCAGGAACCGACTTTAGGTGCTTGTCCAGTGCCAGCTTGAAGACTGCCAGGGGTCTGTTGGTAATCCCCCTTATGTATGCTGGGAGGCAGTTGAACAGTCTCGGGCCCCTGACACTTATTGTATGGTCTCTTAACGTGCTAGTGACACCCCTGCTTTTCATTGGGGGGAATGTTGCATCGTCTGCCAAGTCTTTTGCTTTCGTAGTGAGTGATTTTCGTGTGCAAGTTCGGTACTAGTCCCTCTAGGATTTTCCAGGTGTATATAATCATGTATCTCTCCCTCCTGCGTTCCAGGGAATACAGGTTTAGGAACCTCAAGCGCTCCCAGTAATTGAGGTGAGGTAGGATGTCAAGCATGAATTCCATATGAGGCGCGTATAATAAGTAAAACAGAGAGAAGTAGAGTGTACCCTGTGGCCTGGTGACAAGCTCTCGTTTCACACGGTGAGGGTCCGGGTTCGGAACATTGGACGTGTTTCTTTACACTGGTTGTCCATGTTCACCCATCATTAAAATGGGTACCTGGATGTAAGTGGACTGGTGTGGGTCGCATCCTGGGCACAAAACTGACCTAATTTGCCCGAGATGCTCAGCATAACAAGTGATTTTCTATATAGTATGTCATTGATCTCAGCTATGGTCTGTATACCTTGTACATGTACATGTACTTGCAGGAAACAAAGATATTATTAAAAAAAAATTTTCACTCG